CCCTCACCCACCTCGCCCCGCGCCCCGCAGCGCCGCCGTGCGACTGCCCCGATGCAAGCTGTGCGATATCTGTTTCCGATCGAGGCAGGACAGCTCGGGGCGACCAGCGCTGCTCACGCCGCGCGCCTCCCTTTGGCCTGACTGCAGTCGTCGGCAGGGCGGCGCATTTACATCGTCTGGCGCAGCTCGGCGTCGGGGGTAGAGAATAATGTCGAGCAGCCACAAAGCGGAATTCTATCAGTCTCGCGGCAGCGAAACGCTTTCCCGCTTTCCATGACTAAAGTACTTTCTATAGAGGCGCAGGGCAATAAGGCGGAGAGGGTTTTGTGGGCGCGCTGTGGCCGCGGGGGAAAGTGGGAGTTCTGCTTGACCCAAACAAAACACCGAGAGACGCCAGAGCAGGCGCGCCTCTGCCGAGGTTGTTGGGGTTCGTCCTTTCATCGGGCCCGTAAAGAAGGGCTGGGCGGGCGCGGCGCGACCGTACGCCTGTTTGCGGCTGTAGTCGGCCCAGCTGGCCGCGGGGCCTGGCTGGCTGGCTGGCTGGGCAATTCTCAGGAATACCTCGGGCTGCGGTGGTGCGGTTTCTGCTGGGGGCGCTACTCGGAAAAAAAAATCCAAGCAACATCGGAAATGAAAGCTGATGATACATCTGAGCCGAGGTTGCTCAAGGGGCTTTTCCAAATTCACAATAGTAGCTTATTTTGGTCAAATTTTGAAAGTTCTCGCTGCCGTGTGCTGAGGCTGAAAGCACCCTCATTGACGGATCAGGGGGAGGGGGGGCTCTCGCTGTAAAAATCCCCCATTCACTCGTTGGATGTTTCTTCTTCAGGACTGATGGGGGTCGGCGCCTGCAGGAGTGACACCCCATGATGCGTCTTAACGACAAAGTTCGATATGTTGCGCTATACGGTTACACAAAGTCCGATGTGCTGCGCTCCCGCTATACAAAGTTCGAGCTGCTGTGGTCCGGTTACACAAAGTTTGATCTGCTTTTGGACGCTTTCGGAAGTCCCATGTTTAAACCTCTCTACCACAGTTTTACCGTTGTAGCATTCATTTTTCTTTTCTTTTGAGTAGGCCTATAATGTTCTACAGTCTTTCAGTAACGTGAAGCAGCTTTTACTTTTTTCTACCGGTAATATTATCGACCACATTAATAAAATACACTGCGCTGCACGTCGGAATGCATCAAACTTTGTGGAATCAGAATGAACTTTCTCGTTAGGACGAAATGTCGCTCCGTTCTAGCAACTAGCAACTAACTTGGCTTTAAAAACTAATTAGTCCCTATAGCAATTGTTTGATTAACTACTATCCTCAAATTGCTTTAGTTCCGACGACTAATCTTTCTTTTTTCCCGTTTACGCTGAGGAAGCGGAAGCCGGTAACGCCTCCTCCGCAACCCGCCAAAAAACACGGGGAAAGGGGGGGGAGGGGGCTACCGCCTCTGCAAGCGATATTTATACAGGTGTCGAGAGACTGGCGGCACGAGAGCCTCGGAGCGTGCCAAGGCGCCCCGCGGCCCCTCCCCACCTGGGCCGTCTGGCCAAGTGAGTCACTGGGCCGGGTCGGGGACCCACCGGGGCACCCACCGGGGCACCCGCCGGGGCACCCGCCGGGGCACCCGCCGGGGCACCCGCCGGCCGTCGGGGCACCCGCTGGGGCACCCACCTAGGACCCACCGGTCAGCAACCGGTGAGTGAGCCACCGGTCACCAAACGCACCGCCCACACACGCACACAGCCGTTTCCCAAAATGTTTCGTGAGTCCATTTCCCCGAGGCACTCCGCAATCTCGTTCGCCAAACCCTTCCCCCCTCGCCCCTTTCCAATCTGGTGCCGCCGGACTCGAAAGGTTAAAAAAATCCACGATACAGGCGGGCTACCGCACGGTCAGCGGACGGCGGACGCTTTCATCGTTTGGTCAACGTGAAAAAGGAGGAGGGGTGTGTTTATCCATCAAGGCAGCAGGAAAGCATCAAAAGGTTGCGACTAGGCCGGGTAGGCAACCTCCACTGAGGCAGCCCCCAAGGCTTCGGGGGAAAAAAAGAGAGCCGCGCCAAAAGAAATCAGGGAACGAAGGGGAAATCACTTGCGAAGTAGCTCGTACATATTCCCCCGAAATGGCCCGAAAGAAAGGCGAAACAGACCGGAAATAGACACGAAAAAGGTGGTAAAATAGTCGCGAAATACCTTAGAAATGCTGCGAAATACCGCGAAATACCCTGTAAAAGTCCGAAATAGGCGAGAAATAACCGAAATGGCAAGAGAATACCCCGAAATAGCCCGTATGCTACGAACCCAAGTAATTTCCTCCTTGTCAGGGAACCCCCCCAGGGCAAGTTTTCGTTATTCATTTTTCCTAGTGGAGAGCTATCCAAGCAGACTGTTCGAGCCCATGGCCCATGGCCACATTCCCCGTCACGGTGGACTTCATGGCGCTGGCAGGCGCTCGGGCCGCTCAGGTCGTGTTGGCGCAGGGGTAATTGGACAGGGTGCAGGAGGGGGGGGGGGGGGGAGGCTCCCGGACACGCGCGACCCTAACAATGGGACCTGCTTGGGTTCGCGTTCAGATTAGCGTTCTCTCGGCGCGCACCCCGCTGTTGCGCACCAGCCTGCCTGCCCGCGGGGCGGGGTACGTGCGGTTGGCCGTTGGTCACGGAGGGACGGTGGGTGACCTTGACGCCTGCAATACTCACCTATCATAGTAGTAATCCCTGCAACAAAGAAAGAAGAGCAACGCGTCAGGGAGGCGGTAGGCAAAAATAAAACAACTCAAAGTAAAATATGTAATTGCTTTTGCACAATAAGGGGTGCGAGGTACGTCGTAGGGTTTGTGTTCTATGCTGATGCCTTTAGGAGATCTAACTTTCACCAGTTTTTTTTTGTCTTCTTTTTAAATCACAAGAGATAGTTGAAATTCAGTGTCCGTGAGACGGAGCAGTCAAAAAAATTAAACAAATGAGGCAGAGCGAACAATATGCGCGTAAAAATATTGCGGCGAGTCATAAGCAGGTGGAAATATACATCTGGGCTGGGCATGTTCTAGGCTACAACAACAAAATAACTTATTTGATTTGTAATAATTACACTGCTTCGTCGAGGAGCGAACTAATACTGTACTGGGGTATTGCAAGCACAAAAATCAAGGTCTTTCCACGTCCACTGACAAAAAAAAAAGTGTAAAAGAATCAAAAACTCACCAGTCGTTCCCAGTTTTCGTAATATTTTGTCTCTTTCTACCAGTTTGGTGAGCTTTCGGCTCTGACACCAAATTAACATCTGGAAACAAAACCAGAATATCGTAAGGTTCTATTTTCAAAACAAAACAAAAATTGTATGTAGAGCAGGTTCGCACAAAAAATTATCACACTTCCAAACACGTCGTTTCAGCCAACAGTTCTCATCTTCCTCCACAAAATTTTAAGACGCAAAACGAAGTAGTCCTTGTCGCACCCACGGTCTCTCGCGTACCGACCCCACGGCCATCGCCTTGTCTTTGCTTACCTAGTGTCTGCCCGAGCACCACTCTCTTGTCCTCGCCCAGGCAGGCGCTGCGAGCGTCGAAGGCGTTGGCAAACTGGACGAAGGCGTAGCCCTTGTGCATCGAGATGCCTGCCAACAGAAACACAGACATCTTTCGTACCTCTTCTATCACCAGCAAAAGGCTTGCAGTGGTTATGGCAGCTTCGTAAGTGCGAATGCCAGACTTTCTTTCTGGATGACGCCTTAGGCGTTATACTAAGGCTAACACCGTTTTGAAGACAATTGTTCAAGATATGTTTATGTCACGTTTACACGGTGAAAATGACTTCACTGTAAACCCAAGTGTTTACATACATTGGAAGTTTGCACTTGCCATAGCGCTACGATATGTGCCGGGTACACACTTAGACTTGTGTGCCACGCATGTTCACACTTCCTAGTGTGTGCCATGCCAGGCACACACTTTGTTGTTTGTGCTTTCAAGTACACACAAGGAAGAGTGTACTATGTACACACTTGGGTTTACAGTGTTATCTTGGTTTGAAAGGCATCGCGTTAAACCCAGTAATCTTATCTCTCCCGCGAATTCAAACGGGGGGGGGGGCTCTTTTGTTTTACTCAACCAAATGTTGAAAACCAATGCCCCGTTTTTATCCTGTAAACAAGAACACTCAACAGTTTGTTCCAAAGGCTTTAAAAAATGTCGCCATATTATGTTCGCTAAGTTGTGTCCGGAGCCATCCCATAGCGCCAAATAGAACCAGAGAATCAGCGTTCTCCGGTGATTCGAATATTCGAACGGTATGGCATGAAGCCCTCTAACTACTGAATTGTGGTTTCACTCGAAGCACTGTTACGCTCGCCCAGTGTGCGCTCTCGCAACACTCGCCACATCACGGTCTGACCTTCCCTAACCTAAAGCATGACCCCGGAACCTGACCTAACCCTCCCCCTAATCCAACCCCTCCCTACAACACGGCACGCCGCGCTCCCAGCCGCTCCCAGCCCACCGGTCCGAGCCACTTAGTCTCGCGCGTCAAATTAGCATAGGCCGCTGCAGGCCGGGCGGTATAGGCTGGTGCGGGGCGGGGCCGCACCCCGAGACCTACTTCCCGACCAGACCTGTCACCAGCACCTCCTCGCACCAACACTACTGGCATACGTCTCTTCGAGGGGCACCAACGAGGAAGCGAAAAGGGGGCCAGTAACCTTGTCCCCCCCCCCCTCCTCCTCCAACACAAAACGTGTCAACGACACCCTGGCGGCTCCCCCTCGGCAGAAATCTCTCTAAGCCAAGCCTCCCGCCCCGCAGGCCCCGCAGCCCTCTCACCTGTTACACGGCGTCGGGGCGGGCGGCGGTCGCGCGCAGCCGTGATGCCACCCACTCGACGCACGCTAAGGCTGTCGACAAGTGTCACGCGCTGGGACACCCCGGCACCCTCGGGCGCGGTGAGGTCGTAGAGGCTGTACGCTGCTCGTCAAAGTGTCTCCTCCCGTCAAATAATCGCTCGTTTCCACTCCTCCGTCGCGTGTTTTCTTCTTGTGTTTGTATGAACATTGGCCGCTTCATTAGAGGACCTATGTATCGGCACCACGCTACTAGAGCTGTCAGAATTTTTCGATCTCGATTTGAATCGACCCGATTTGAATACTACCGATTCCGAATTTGTCTAATTTGATGTCAAACAAATCGAAGTTTCGAATTGGATCCGTTCGACTTCGAATCAACGAACTATGAAATTGTGGGCTATTTGCAGAACTGCCTACTTTGTAATCCGACGCATGCTCAAACGACAAAATCAATATGTTACGTGGTAATACAGAAAAATGATAATTGATTTT